GCTGGAAAATATATGAGTTTGCTTGCCCTGTTGTCTCTCAAGGGTCAAGGGAGCTAGAGGGGCAGAGAGAGAGAGAGAGAGAGAGAGGGAGGGAGAGAGAGAGGCAGTGAGACAGAGCATAGCAGAGGTAGACACTATATATGCCTAGGCTTTGCTGTTTGGTGCTCTGTCGTAGGATATAATAGATGCATTTCAAACTGAAAATTGGAGATGACAGCGTGAGCGTGACTCGTGTCACGAGTTCTGTAAAACTAACTCTGTTTAATCTATACTTAAACTGTGACTCGTGTCACGCGTGCTGAAATTCTTCTTAGTTTAGACTTGTAAATCGGGCTCAAAGTCTTTGAGTTTGAGCAGACGCGCGCTGCCTCCGCTCCGACTGGATATCCACGGCGTATGAATTTGGCTGTCATCTCATCGCTGGCATCTGCCACAAAGCACTCAATGGCACACTGAAGCGACAAATATATCCTTGGCATGTGGCAAGTGGCAAGTGGCGTGTGGCATGTGGCATGTGGCATGTGGCAGCAGCAGCGGCATAAATTCAATGCGTCAAGTGGATGCAACTCGAGTTGTGGGTCACAGATTGACGCCGACAAGCGATGCAATTAGTTGGCCACGCTTCGAGCCACAATCACCCAGCGACCCCCAACCCCCAACCCTCGACCCGATGACCAATGACCGATGACCCGACGACCAAAGAGCGACGAGCGATGAGTGATGACAAAATGAGCAGTGACAATGACAGTATTGAGTATTGCATACCCTGTAAAAGTATGCATCTGTATCTGTATCTGTATCTGTATCTGTATCTGTATCTGTATCTGTATCTGTATCTGTATCTGTATCTGTATCTGTATCTGTATCTGTATCTGTATCTGTATCTGTATCTGTATCTGTATCTGTATCTGTATCTGTATCTGTATCTGTATCTGTATCTGTATCTGTATCTGTATCTGTATCTGTATCTGTATCTGTATCTGTATCTGTATCTGTATCTGTATCTGTATCTGTATCTGTATCTGTATCTGTATCTGTATCTGTATCTGTATCTGTATCTGTATCTGTATCTGTATCTGTATCTGTATCTGTATCTGTATCTGTATCTGTATCTGTATCTGTATCTGTATCTGTATCTGTATCTGTATCTGTATCTGTATCTGTATCTGTATCTGTATCTGTATCTGTATCTGTATCTGTATCTGTATCTGTATCTGTATCTGTATCTGTATCTGTATCTGTATCTGTATCTGTATCTGTATCTGTATCTGTATCTGTATCTGTATCTGTATCTGTATCTGTATCTGTATCTGTATCTGTATCTGTATCTGTATCTGTATCTGTATCTGTATCTGTATCTGTATCTGTATCTGTATCTGTATCTGTATCTGTATCTGTATCTGTATCAGCATCAGCTGTATCTGTATCTCTAACTGTAACTGTAACTGTAACTCTCAATCTGTTCTCGACACTCAACTTAAGTGGGCGGATGGGTGCCCAGGGGGCGTGGCCGTGCATCTAGCAACAATGCTTAGGCATTGTTTACACGCATCTCGTTTAATATGCATGAGATTCAGGCACCTGCCCAGCTGCTCACCTGCCTAACCGCCCACCTGCCCACCTGCCAGCCTGCCAGCCTGCCAGCCTGCCAACCTGTCGACTGCACGTGCCCCTCAAATGAGCGGGTCGAGAGTTAAGAGGGCGTCGATTGCGGGTTCGTTAGGGGTCAGCCAGTAGCCCAGGTCGTCGCAGATTGTCGAAATTGTTAACGGACCCAGAAGGCAATTCAATCAGCTGCCCGAAAGGCTGCTGAAGTGTCAAATGACATTGGCTGAAAGCATATGTGGGGCGGGCGAAAGCCAGTGTTGGATAACTGTCAAGAGGTAATCTGTCTGTCCACTTAAGTGGGCAAAGAGAGATACCACAGCACTTGTAGTGAGATCTCTACTGCTTAGTTAGGAATAGAGTAGAATGTTTATTCTAGGGAAGAGACATTTCTGCGAAATGCCAGTGTTGTATAACTGCATAAAATCTATACAAATGAATTTATGCTAACTGTATTGGTAAACAAATCGAGCTTCGACTTCAACTCACTATTAAAGCTCGATTAGAGCCCGAATATGCATGGAGCTAATGCAACTATTTGTCCAGTCAACAAATTGTTGTAAGTTCCATGAAATCTTGAAGCCCTTGGGGCGAGTCCTACGACAATTTTTCGTCATTGTTTGTTTAGCAAACAGAAGGAAAAACAGTTCCAATTCGATTTACAGTTCAGCTTACAAAGGCGGAGGCGGAGGCGGAGACGGAGGCGGAGGCCACAGCACAGCAATAGAAACTAGATATATGTATATCACATGAATGGCGGCCCGTAGGCGGTACACTGAGAGAAAGGAGAGAAGACAACTGCACTGATATTTTCGTATGTCGCTAATATTTGCTTTGCTTTGTCATCAAAAGTCTTCCTGTTTGCGCTAAGTGTATGAATATTTGCTCTCGAAACTATTTACATAACAATAAGTTATGCAATGCGTAGAACAAATATACAGGGTATATAGGGGAAGGGGGCTAGGAGTGAGAGAGGGGGGTAGCATGTTGCAATTTCTTATGCATAAATATCAATAGAAATGAAAGAAAAGCCTTTGATATGTTTGATTTGATTTGATTTGATTTGATTTGATTTGATTTGATTTGATTTGATTTGATTTGATTTGATTTGATTACATTTGATTTATATTAGAAGTGAGCCTAGAATTGATGAGAAGCTTGAGCTAATGGAGTAGGCAGGCAGAGAGAGAGAGAGAGAGAGAGGGACAGCAAAATAGAGAAAGAGAGAGAGGGAGAGAGAAAGAGGGAATAATTCTTATGCAGAAATGCAGCCTCATGACTGCACATAATGTGCGGGGCACACACACACACACACATACAAGCAGTCTTGAGCATACTTATATATACATATATATACATATGTATATACATATATGTCAAATACAGTGCATGCTAGAAGTATGCAAATCGAGTGCAATTTGCATGCAAAGTAGCTTGAAGAGCCAAACTGTAGCACCGAGCCAGTGGCGTAGCCTCGACAGGCTGGGCGGGGGCGCCTGCCCCAAAGGGGAGTTGGCTCTTAGTGGAGGTAGCGCCTAGCTTGACTAGCTCATTAGGAATGCCCGCAGCCAGCAGACTGCAGCTGTGAGTGTAAATATGAGTGTGTGTGTAAGTGTGTGTGCGTGTGTATAAGTGTATAGGTGTGTGTGTACGCATACTTTTGCTGTTAGTTAGCTTCGAGCTTTAATTTGAGCAAAAAACATGTTGCACACGCATTACTCTGCTCCACTCGGCTACAGCGACTGAGACACTCATTATGCAACATACTTGTAGGAGATTTCTATATGCTATAATCAGATCAAAGCATATAGAAAAACGTATGTATATGTTGCATATTTACCTATAGACAGCAATCAGTGGGATCTATATACCAAGCGAGTCTATGCAGAAAAATGAAAAACATTCAAGAGCTTCTGCAAGTTATCAAATATATCTCAATTTGTATCAGGATTACAATTTTTTGGGTTGTCAGCATACTTTGAGGAGCTACTGTTATAAGCTTACTTCTCTGCTTCTCGCTTATCCCTCACTTCAGTTCTCGCTCTGACATTTTGCTTATTTTCCTTGACTTCCAAAGAATCACAACTCAACTATTTTAAGCACATTTTGTAAATTTTCAAATGTAACAAATGCCTCTGAGACTTTCAAGTGTCGAGGCAGGCGGACGGACAGACATCTTAATAGCTTCACACTTTAATTTTACAGCACACAGAGAGCGAAACACTGCAAAAGAACCATTTTGAAAATGTTCTTTCATTTTCTTTCTATTGAAGAAAATGCACTTTGCCAGCATGCTTAGAATGCCACAAGATGATGTGTGAAATGGAAAGAAATGCAGAAAAAATAAAGTGGAGAGAGGCCTTTAACGAGCCAACACTGAACTCGTCTAGAGGGCCCTGGCCCTATTCGAGTGTTGGGAAGTGTGCTTTACACAAGCAAGAGAAAAACATTTGAAAACATTCCGGAAAATGTGAAAAGGTAAAAGACAGCTGAACGTCGCAGTAGCACAGGCTTGGCGAGTTTTCGTATTACAAATCAATATATAATGCTTCAATTTGTGGCAAATATTATCGATAGATCATCATAAATTCAGTGAGCAGGAAAAGACAAATTTAATTTTTCGTTTAGGATTAGGTTTTTTCACATACAAAATTCCCCTAGTCTAGCCAAAGATTTTAAGTTGTGCCGGTGGGCCATTTAATATGATAGTTTGCGAGTTATGATGAGCATACCATGAAATCTAACATGCTCTAAGCGAACTTTCAACTCACATGCTCTTCCACACCCTTCCCTCGTCCTCTGCTCATGATATGGCTTCTTGACCTTTTCCGAGTTACTCTCAGGCGACTTTTGTTCTACACAAAAGTTAAGCACTTGAGAGTTTTCCGCTTAAAGTGCTGCACAGGGCGCTTTCAATGTAATCAATTATCATATAAATACATATATACGTTATATAATCTGGAAATCAACTTGAAAAATCCGGCAATCTATAGATTTTATTACTCAAACAATCAATTTCAATTGTGCAGCGCATGAGAGGAGGCCCATTGGGCGGGCGGAAGAGGGCTTTTGGTCAGTCTTGAGGGCACTTTTAAGTGTAATTCATTGTATAGTGCCCTCTCGCTCTGCCAGGGCCACAATGGCAATACAATGGCGGACTTAAACATAATACTAAATGCTCGATTAACGAGTTCTTTGAGCCATTCAATGTGCACGAACAGCAACAGCAACAGCAACAGCAACAGCAACAGCAACAGCAACAGTGAATTCGAAAACAACAACAACAACAGCAACGGCAACGGCAACGGCAGCAGAGCGCAGCATTAACAATGGCTGACCAACGGTAACTTACCCCGTCCCCTTCTAGCGCGTGGTGTTAAGTGTGGTCAACTTACCCGTTCGGCCCGAACAACATGTTAATCTGCAAATAAAGAGAGCGCAAAAAAGAGGGGAGTGAGTAAATGAGTGTGAGCGAGACAACAGGTGTGCTCGGGTGCCAGTGTGAAAGTGTTGCGTTTACACACTCACACGCACACGCATTATAAGGAAGTGCAGAGATCATGAGAATGCCCACGCACAACTTATGCACAATTGTAAAATACGCAAGGAGCGAGCGAGAGGGAAGAGGAAGAGGCAGAAGGAGATGCGAGAGTATTGCAGAAGTTTACTACGGGTATCAAGCGGATTCTCATGGGTAAATTGATGTTGGTTTTATAATCATAAAAAAGCAAGTAGAGAGCATGAACAACTAATAGATACCCTATGCTTCATAAATGTTGACTGACATTACACAAACACTCATTGATCAACATCCATTGTAGACCAAATAATTTGTATACCACTAAATTTGAATTCTGATTTGCATTTGGTAATAGCTACCCCTCACTGCCACAGATTGCTTACAGGGTACACAGATTCAATCCTCAGCGAAATCACACGCAAATTTGTTACACGGCTTTCGCTTTGGGTATTTTGAATGTTTTATGGTTTTCGAAAAATAAGAAGAAAAAACCAAGCGAAATAAAATTCATAAAATCGACACAAAATTCGCGCACTTTCAGCCGAATCAAACAATAAATCTTTTTTACTCTAAGCTCGCTTAGATTTATATGACGTGCAACTTCTCTGTCTCCCCTCTCGCTCTCGCTCTCTCTCTCTCTCTCTGTCCTCCTCTCTCCCTCGAATTGTTAACTGCGCCACTGCCTTTGCGGCCTCCATTTTGTGTGAGCTGAAAACTTTTTTCGTTTTGTTCGGGTTTTTGTTTTTGGGTTTTGTTCTCAGTATTTTGTATTTACCGTTGGTTTGGCCGCCATTGTTTTGCATTCAAAGAGTCGCGGCTTTGGGAGTATTTTTTTGCACTCGAACTGATTTGAAAAATTATTTTCTGTAATTCTTTATTTTATTTTTGTTTTGCTTTGCTTTGTCAAAGTTTATTTTCGATTTAACGCTCTGCACATTATTTAACTTCCTCATGGAAAGGGGGGCGTGGGTGGTTGGGGGAAGTGTAGGGGAAGGGGCGGGCTTTTCTTTTGTTTGGCTGTGTAGGCATTTCTTTGTGCCGTTTGTCAAGGCTAGTGCCGCCCAGTTTTGGGGCGTGGATTAGGCGCAGCTCTGCTGTAGATAATGCATATCATTTGCAGTCATCAATTATGATAATTCGATCAATTGATGTGTATATCGAGAGCAATCATTGCGCGCGATTATCGACTGAAAATTTGGGTGCTTCTTACATTTAAGCTATTTACAGAGAGGGCTTTAAAGTCGGGGCTTAGGTTAACATTAAGTGCAACTTCATAAATATACACTATGCTATCGATAACAGATGGCTGTCTTATCGATAACATATACAATCGACCTTCTAGCTCTTTGAAACTAAATTTGTAAGAAACAAATATAATACTTCGCTTGAGAGCTATTCGATAATCATTATCGATAGATTTTTGTAGTGAAAATGTGAAACAGGAAATGTGAAACGGAAAAGCGAACGGAACGTGCAAACGAAACAGAAATCCGAATGCGAAACTAAAATCCAACAAGAAATTTAATGCCACTATCGATAAGGCGAAATGGACAATGACAAACACGAATAGCAGATAAAGCAAATAACGAGCTACAACAACAACAGCAGCGGCAACAACAACAATCAGGAACAGAAGCAAAAGTTGAGCTGGCATATCGAATCGCACGCAAAATGCAATGCAGCTCGAGCAATTGCTTTTTCCCTGTCAATAGTTGAACAGTAAAGAAGCAACAGAGCCCCGAGCCACCCCAAGTCACCCACCAATGCCACCCTAGATAGCCCCTAGCTGGAGGAGAGGGCTGGGCACACTGTTGCCTCGATATCCAAGTCGCAGTTAAAGCGTATTGTCAGGTTTCTATATATGTATATATGTATGTTCCCTGTGCCCTGCCATGCCATGTTGCTATAACAGCATATATACCCTGTAAATAGTGAAGAGACCTTCAACGAGTTGGCTCAGAGAACGTGAGAGAGCGAGTAAGAGAAAAAACTAGAGTGAGAGATCGAAAGATTTATTCATTCCGATCTGGATATCATATATACATTAAACGATCTATCATTTACTCTACAACAATTTGGCCATGGGTGCAATGAAAGGGTATAGGGTAACTGCTAGTCGCGCAATTAAATTTCTTACTTATACAATTTTACATATGCATATATCTACAATATCTAGTTATTTGTTATTTTTTTTTTTTTTGTAAACTCATATTCGTAAATACGCGCGAGTAATGCCCTATAGAAAGGGCGTTACACATGGGGGGCGTGGTGCTTAGGTCGAAGTCATATGGGGTAGCTCATAGCTAGCTGCGGGGCTGTGTGGGGGGGCTGAGGGGAGAGTTAGAGGTTTGTACAGAAGAAACGCAGAAACGATTGCAGCCGATACGAGGCGAAATAAACATAGGGAAAATTGATATATCGTAACTAATGGCAGTCACACACACATACATATATATATATATATATATATATGCATATAGATATATATGCATGGCCAGATATTGTCTTCTGGTCTGGTCTAAAATTATGCCCAAAGCTTTGTTTGTTTGTTCCGCCTGAGGTTTCAGTATGTGTGCGTGGGCGCCCTCTCAATTACAGGGTATATATATATAGCTAAATCAACATAAATATACACGTGTATATGTACACCTGGTAAACATGAGCAACTAACGCTGCATAGACAAACAAATTTGTATCTGTCAAGCGTTAAGCATAAATTGTTCACCTGGACGAAGGCTAAGTTCTTTCTGCTGTTTTACAACACTGTATATTTCGTCCCACTAGACAGGCACTAACAGTTTAACAGTTTTAGATGTCTACATCTTGCATCAGACTCTCTCCCATCTCTCTCCTTTCTAGGTCCATTTACAGATCTTCATTAACTCCTAGACTCTATGCAAAACCATCAAAGTTCAATCTTTCCTTGGCGCACCTGCACACCTGCACACTCTTACAGCTTCACCTGTACATAGACTATCTAACAGGGGCATCGGTAACATCGCCGACATCAGTCGGCGTCGGCGTCGGCGTCAGCGTCGCAGCGATTCAAAGTAATGCGACATTCAATACAGCCAAGTGCTGCCATACAGGTAAGTGAGCAGGTGTAAACGCGTGCTGCTGTCTTCCTCTCTCTGTGAGTGCGTGTGCCTGTGTGCGTGTGTGTGTGTGTGTTTATTCATATTTCAAAATTTTGATTCAATGCATTTTGTTTGTCGTCGCCGAATCAACATGAATTCGATTCGCAAAAGCTCTCGCTTGCTCTGCGCCCGGGGCGAAACAAACAAATTCCTCAGCAATCAGAGAATATATGTATATATACCTATACACATATTTATTTAGTTATATATGTGTATGTAAATAGCTTTTGGCTCCAGCCAGATTTTCAATAAACTTCTAAAATATGTTGCTGTTGGTTTATATGAGGAAATTCATCATGCAGAGACTATGTTTTAATTATCCTTCTCATGATGTTCCAATTCCATAATGTTCCAAATGGCGCTAGCATTCACTTTTCACTACATTTCCCACTTCCACTCTTAGTTTCATTGTCAATTGGGACCTTATTTTTATCAATTGAATTATTTCCGAATGAGTTCCGCAACTTGAGAAAATTATTCCTGGCCCAACAGCTGCAGGCAAATGAAGCATTTGCTAATACAGCGAAATAAATAAAAAGCTTTGCTAATTAGTTAAGAGCTGCTACCTGCCGCCTAACAGCTGGCACTGCCTCTACGCATTCCCATTCCACGCATTCCCCTGCCTCAACTTCGGCTTCTGCTGCTGCTGCTGCTGCTGATTCTGTTCTTTAATCCACTTGAAAGCAGCTGCTGTCGTTTTCTTATTTATTTTGCACAAAAAAAAAAAAAAAAAACAGAAATAAGGGAAAATGAGAAAAAACATTGTCAGTGATAAATTTTGTTTACAAGCTGCCTGTCATGAGAAGCGCGTAGAGAGGCGCACCCGGGCAAACAGCTTTAGGCCTGGGGCTTTAAGCTTTAAGCTGTTCTCCCCCGTTGACAGTTGTCAGATGGCATTTACCGACATTGCAGATATGGTCACTATACGATTAACATGGCTCTTTCCCCTCACCCTAACCACCCCCCTCCCCCCTCCCCCCTCCCCCATGCTCCCTTCGCCTTTCGTCAGAAAACTAAACCAAAGTATTCCAATTCGCCAAATTGTCTTTTTCTCTGTTGTACTTTTTTGGGGCTTTGTTTTTTTCGGCCGGCTGTTTGTTGTGGTTGCCGTTCCATTGCCGTGTTCCCAGGGGGCAATGAGCTGCCAACAACTGCCACACAACTAATCGTGTTGCCAGCGTCTCGCAGGCCTCCACCAATCCCTCAGTCCCTGCCTTTGAATCAGTTGTGACATTTCCAAAGCTCCGCCACTCAACGGACCTCGCATTCCCGTCCTCAGCTGTTACCCCAAGGGAACAAGCACAAACACACCAACACACGCACACACACGCACAATGACACAATTTTGTATACCCTAGGCAACACTGAAGAGGGCCTACATAGGCCGCTCTACTACCGAAATGCGCCTTAAGCACGTTTTATTGTGCACTTTATGCTAAGAGCAGTGTTTCATTTCCACTCGTTCCTCGATTGGCTATTCTTTCATTTACCTAAATTAAAGTTCATTCAATGTTTCAGTCTGGAACAAATTCAAATGTTGAATCATGGCTTTTCATTGTTCCATTTCCATAGCATTCCCCATTCATTTGTGTCATGTGCTAGACTTAATGTGCCATAGCTGCTATATATGTATGTATATAGTTGTGATTACTCTTCAAAAAATCTCTTACAATGTTCCAATTCCACATTGTTTCACTTCGTGCTAATACTGCCCAACTGTCCCCCGCATGCCATTCCAGTTAGTTTCATTTTTAATTTGAATAATTTAATTTAGCTTTTTGTTGATTATTCGCTTTAGCTATTCATAAGCTGTTCTGCTGTTTCACGTGCCATTGCGTTCCCCTGGCGTCTCGCTCTGGCTCAGCACGTAAAGTCAACGGCCGGAGCAATCCAAAATGCTAACATTCCCAGTTGGATTTCAAAGCTTTTTAATGTTTTATTGTTACTCAGCGGAGACTTGAGAGTCGCGTTGCTACCCCACACAGTCTCTTGTTCCTTTCTCTCTTTGTTCCTTTTCGCTGTCAAATTCCATTTTCGTCTCTTGGCCGTTCCGTCTAATTCCGATTTGTTTCGCTTGAATTTAATAAGGTTAAGTGAAAAGCCCCCTTCACACCTGTTAGCTAAAAGGTACTAAAAGAGACAGACAGAGAGAGAGAGAGAGAGAGAGAGAGAGAGAGGGAGAGGAGAGAGGCGCTGTCTATGCATTCATTATTTCTTCATTGGAATCGAGTTTAAACAAATAAATAACAAATTAAAGTCTGCTGGGCAAAAGCGTAGATACACTAAAGACAAGTAAGTAGCTGATGCACAGATACCCTGTAACTAGAAGAGCTTGTCTATCTGTCTATTTGTGACTATCTATACATTCTACACCTCTGCTGAATACAGGTTCAAACTAACCTTTCGAGGCAATAACCCTAGAGGTACATAAGCCCTAGATAAGGCTTAGTTCTAGCCCTAGCTCTTCAGTCTCGTTTGCTCTCAAGTATATTGCAATATATATTGTGTACAAATCAAGGAAATGTTTCTATATCAGTTCGGTGTCTCGTTTTGCCTCTGCTCTCTTTTGTTTGGCTTTGCAGCGCTTTAGAATAGTGGATGGAGGACACCAAATGTAATCAGAAAACGCATATGAAATTCGAATAGTAAATCGCAAAAAGGCAGTGGGCGTGGCCACACTGAATCAGCCTGCGTGCCGAGCTGAAGCTTTGAAGATCGTCGGTGCCGAGTCGAGCCGCAGCTCGAACTTGAATCGCGACTGAGGCCCGAGTCAAACAGTGCTCGAAGAGTATCAAAGGCGTCAACACGTGCCCTGGCAAATGGAGAGGCACAAATCAAGTCACAGGCGGGAAGCAACAGTAGCTGCACCTGCAACAGCAGCTGCAACAGCAACAGCAGCAACTGTTGCTGCTAGCAAAGTGTCAAGATCTAAGCATGATGTTGGCAAACGGAAGGGCGAACATTTGGAGACGCAGACGTTTCACAAGAAGGTTAAGAAAATTGGCGTGGATGTGGCAGCAGCGCAGGCCCAAAATGAGCAACAGTTGCTGCAACAGCAACAGCAACGACAACAACAACAACAACAACTACCTAGCATGCCTGTGCTAAATGAAACAGATGATGAGGAGCCAAGCGAGCATGGGCATCGGCACAAGCACAAACACAAGCACAAATCACACAAGTCAAAGAAATCGAAAAAGTCCAAAAAGCATTCGGGATCAGAGCAGGAGGCCGAGTGCAAGCGAGAGCGAAAGAGACAGCAAGGGCAAGCAGACGATGGACCGATCGAGGCGAATGCGCTGCGTCCGCGACACTGGTTCAATCAGAAGAAACGCATCTTGGAGCAGTGGAGACGCGAGCACAGTGCCAGAAAGAGCGATAACGATAACGATAACAATCGAAACATCGATGTCGATAACGACGGCTAGTGCACATCATCACAAGTAAGTATCTAACTGGCAGAGGTGAAATTTGTTTGGCATATATCGATAACGATAGCGTTTATCGATAAGTATCGATCAGAGCTCAAGTACATGAGTGACATTCAAATGCTCATTCGATGAATTTATTTATAAAAGGCATATCCATAGGGATTCTTAGTGTTAGCTCAGTCTTTAGCGATGGGCATGGCAATCAAATCGATATTTATCTATCATATCTACGATAAACGCATGGGAATATTGATGAATGATAAAGTCTATACAATAGTAAACCTATGTGCATATGCATAATGGTTATCTTTATGTGATTCTGCCCTGTTATCGTTTCTTAAAATTGTTATCGATATTTTTTAACCGACTGTACTAAAAATGAATTTTAAAAGAGAAGTGCTAGCAAATGATGTAAGAGTCGTGACTGCAGCGGGAAATGTCTGTACATGTGTGCGTGCGAGGGTGTCTGAGGGCGTGAGTGTGTGTGTGTGGGTAGTGAAAACCCTAGAACATTATTTCTTTTGTAAATCCCATTAACAATGCCCACGGCACGTGCGTGGCAACCAAATGAACCAAATGAACAACGGGCAAACGCCGTTCGCTAAGCCAAAAGCAATTATCTGACATAGCCGGGCCATAAAAATGGTCAATTACAATATCACGATATTACCAATACACCAATACACCGGCACACTCACACACACACACATACACATACACACACTAGCAAATACCCTGCACATAAATTATGCATTTCGCCTTAGCCAATCGCATTTGATCAAAATATAAAAAAGGTTGCTCCAAGTTTAAGATTTCGGCTCGCAGATTACAGAAACCAAAATCGAATACCGATTACAGTGGAAACTTTTCAAGCTTGAGCTAGCGCAATACCCTGTAATTGGACTCATACGGAATTCAGAAATATAACTCTACAGCTCGTGTATTGAAGTGGGCCAAGTTTTTCCAGCAGTTTTATAAATAAACTTAAATTTCAAAATTTGAACCTAAAATTCAAGTAAGTCCACTGTTAGATACCCTGTATATTATGATGCAGCTATTGTATTCAATTATATGTTTATGAGAGTGCGAGCTGCAGAATGAGCTGCAGCAAATATATAACTCTACGCTGTTTTGACTGTGAGATACCCTGTAATGAATAAAGTCTAACAATATGTGACTCGACTCGACTTTGACCAAAAGATACCCTGCAATCAAATCTTGAAATATCTTAAGCATGTTTTAATATCACATCTCAGTGTAAGTGAGAGAGAGAGAAAGAGAGAGAGAAATGGAGAGGGCTAGATAGAGAGGGGAGAGTGTAGTTTTCCAGCATATATTGCTTTGCTCACACGGAACTCATAGCGGATATGGAGCAATGGCATGTTAGCTGCGTAATCGAAGCTGATGAAAAGGCGCAACAGCTAAATTTTCCACGAAAAACTGTTCGAATTTCCATTTCAATTTCATTTCCAATTCGAAATGAAATCAGCTACACAAATCAGAGCACTCAATTGATGATACACACACACACACACACACACACACACATGTATGCATACCCTAACTAAATGCAACTAAGCCATGTACATATTTGAGTGTGTGTGTGTGTGTGTGTGTGTGAATGCAAAAAAGCATTTAAATGGCCCGAAAAACAGAAAAGAGCATGAGTAAAGCCATTGGTTCTATGTGCGCGGGAGTGAGATAGAGATAGGCAGAGCAAAAGAGACAGATAGAGAGAGAGAGCGAGAGGGGCATAGGTTATTGGTTAATAACGTGAGCGAGAGTCGAGAGACAATTTAATGCCGGAAATAGTTTTTCCAAGCAGAAGCACAGCCAGGGGCGGGGGCGTTGCCGCTAGGGGGTTAGGGGCTGTAGTTTACAAGAGTTGGCTGGGCAACATGTACATGTGTGTGTGTGTTTGTGTGTTGGTTGGTGTGTGTGATTGCAAAATAAATTTACTAATAAAATGCCAACAATTTTTTTTAGCTAGAGCCCTAGTTAAAAAAGGTCCTACAGGGCACTGCTTGTGTATGTCTATGTGTGTCTGTGTGTGTGTCTGTGTGTGTGTCTGTGTGTGTGTGTAAAGGGGCAAGCATTTTGTAATAAACATATTTGAAATGCATGCCACGCAGTCGACCAGCAGCAACAACAATCAAAGTCCTTTTGGGGCGATTCGAAATGTGTGTTTGTTGTTGTTGTTGTTGTTGTTGCTGTTGCTGTTGGAAAATGAGCGCAATTTGGACTTTGACCTTGGACAACTTTTTGCCAGCCAGCAGTGGCCGGCAGCCGGGTGGAGGGGGAAAGGTGAGCTGCGAAGGGGTCAACGAACATTTGAATGTCTGGCAAGAGCTCTGGAGCAGTTCGAATGGCAACAGGCAAACAGATTCGAGACTCAAGGTCATGTGAGCGATTGCCGAGAAGCGGCATCGAACGCGGAACCGGAACCGGAACCAGAAACGGAAACGGACCTTTGCATGGGCAACAGTCAAAATGAAAGCTAAATCAAAATCGAAAGCGAATTGGAAGAGAAATAAAATGATGAGAAAACAGCACCTTGGAAGATCCGAATGGAATGGAACACGGAATAGGAACTAGAATTGAGTCAGGTGCAGGAATTGTTGCATAACTGGAACTAGTGATGAGAATCGAGAAAAAGAAGTTGGAACTGAAATTGCACTGTGAATGGGAACTGGAACGGAAGCTAGGCTTGTCTGGAATAGTGCTGGAACTAGAGCTGGAACGGAGATTTAGTTCATAAGCAAATGAGGTAGCCAACGTGGAACTAATTAAGACTCAAAATTTAGCTAGTATTGGAACAGAACCTACATCAGCTGAAGTTCATATTGTAAGGCATGTTGTGGGAACTAGAACTGAGTCAGGTGCAGAAATTGTTGCATAGCTGGAACTAGTGATGAGAAACGAGCTGCAGCTAGGTATAAATGGAGTTGGAACTGAAACTGCAATGACAATTAGAACTGGAACGGAAACTAGGATGCTTGTTCTGCAGTTGTAACTAGAATGGTGCGGGAACTGGAACTGGAACAAACATTTAGTTCATAAGCAAATGAGGTAACCAACGTGGAACTAATTAAGATTTAAAATGTAACTAGTATTGGAACAGAACCTACATCAGCTGGAGTTCATATTGTAAGGCAGGTTGTGGGAACTCTATTGGTGGCATAAATAATGTATTACTTTCCCATCAGTCATGATTGATTGTTGACTGAACTTGCACAGTAAATCAACTTTTCTAGCGGGATTCATCAAATCATTCGCATAGCAGGCAAATGTCTAATAATAGCCAAGTAAATTGCTTTCAAATTGCTTCTCACTTGCAGCCCGATTGATGTCAATCATTAAATATTTTGCTAATATTTATGCAGCTTTTCTCGATTTAATTAAGCCTCAACTGCTTTTGCCTTTTGCAGCCATCAACAAATGACCAACAACAATCAACATCAAAGGAATTTCAGAATTTCAGAATTTCACCTCCCCGGGGGCTAAGGAGAAGTAACAACATCATGGATTGATGGATGTAGCGATTGATGATGATGGAGGGGACGCAGCAAGAGGAGGCCCAGACCGAGCAGGAGAGAAAGGAGCAGCATCTATAAAAGATACTCGAGGGCATGAATTAATTTAAAGCTAAATGCGAACAGCAACACCAGCAATAAAATAAATTGGGAAAATCTTTTTATGCCCGCAGCGCCAACAGCGTTCAACAAAAGGAAGTGGGCGTGGCACGAATGGCATAGCCAAGGAGGGGGGGATGACAGTGGCATGGGGAAAGACGGTCAATTGGCTGATATTTCCAATTTGAATGAAAAGTGATTGAAGAACTTTGAGGAGCGCACATAACAAATGGCACAGCAAAAAGGGCGAGAAAATTGAATGAAAATTGATGAGAAATCAATTAAATGATAGGCCTTTAGATATCCTGCAAATGCAAGCATGAACTAGAAAAAATATAATAGTTATAGAGATGTATGCTAAAATATGTTTATAGTATAGGTATAACAGTATCAGGCACTGTAGAACAGTATATCCATACACTAGCATAGCAGTTTAACTATGTATGAAAGTATAACAGTATAACAGTATAACAGTATAACAGTATAACAGTAGAACAGTTGAACAGTATAACAGTATAACAGTAGAACAGCTTCGAATTATTGCACATCATATTGAGCAAATCAAACAGCTGGTCCAAGCGAATAAGCTCGGCCTTGCTCGACAAAAACAGTGAAGAAGAAAATTTTAAAGTTGTTCCCTTTTTCTTTTGGTCGGCAAAAGTTTTTGTGCGCGCAATTAAAAAAGTAAAGTGTTGCTAAAATATAAATCGACGCACACACATACAAACACACTATATATAGTACCTATGTAAAACAGTATACAGATAACTGTTATATGAAATTGGTGCATAGAAAAAGTTTGCTCAGGAAGGGGCAACTGAGAGCAGGAGGAGGCGTTCGAGAAACATTGTTCAAAACTTACCAGCTGTTTCTGCTGGTGCAGCCAGCTCCTCGCTGACGCTGACGTTGACGTTCGATGCGCACTGCAGCGAATCAAAATTGAAAAGAACTTGATGAGCGGCCCGAAGTGCGGCGCGGCGAGGTGCTAGTTGGTGCTTTAAAATGTCCGCAGGGTCGAAGTGTATTTTGATTTGTTGTTGTTGTTGTTGTTGTTGTTGTTGCTGTTGCTGGCGAGCAGAGGGCGTTCTTATTGTTGTTGTTGTTGTTCGTTCACTTTACACTGTGACCGTTAGCTGGCGACAACAGCATTGGCGCTGGCGCTGACGCAGACGCAGACGCTGAAGCTGGCGTTCACGTTGACGTTGATGTGGACGTTGACGGTGCTGCTGATGGCGATCTGAAAAGCGTGCGAAATTAATATAAATATATATATGTATATATATATATATACGCACAAATATATATATATGTATATATGCATAAATTGAATGTATGTATGTATAATAAAATTGACGTGAAATTGCAGTGGGAGCGCGGCGAGTCGGTCACTTGTTGAAAATTGTGTTTATTGTGCATGTTTTAATTAGCAATTCGCTTATGGCAGCTGATATTGGCAGCATGATTGCAATTTTTATTCATATAACAATTTTTTCGTTATTAAATTCTACTGAATATAGTTGAAATTTGCATAAATTTGCTTGAAAAATTCATTTAAGCGTTTTTCATTATTTTGTTGTTTTTCTTCTCTTTGCTGTTTCTCGTTTTCGTTTTACATAAATGGTAAACAGAGGCGAAAATTGAATTGGCAGCAAAGCGTAACAAGATTTGCGGCGAAAAAAGAAATCAACACACACTTCACATACTGTGCGAAGAGCAGGCGAGGCATGCTGCTTGCCTATAGAGCTGTGTTAACACACACACACACACACATATATATATGCTTGCAATTTAACAAAATTCAATATAAAGTTTTTAAATTCTTTTTTCTTTTATTTAATTATTAATTACACATTGAGCAGCGTATTGCACGGTCGGTTCACTTGGTTAACTTTGCAAAACTTGTTGCGGCGCCGCTTCAAACTAGTTGACGATGCTGATGATGATGATGAAGATGACGATGATGATGGCTCGGCGATTGCGCTCGAGTGCGACTGTGTTAGTGCGCGCGCTCATTAGGCGCCTAATCGACTCCAAATGTGGGCGAGCGGGCGCATAGCACAGCAGCTGACTGCATCGGCAAAAGAATCAACAACAACACCAACAACACCAACACCAACAACACCATCAACAATTGCTGCAAAGAGCCGAGGCGAGCGCGTCAACGATTCGTGTTGATTGGCAGACGCAGCCAATTAAACGTGCAAAGCAAATGCAACTATCGAATTCGCTGCGTTCTCTCATCTACTAAATGTGCGTGTGTGCATGTGTGCATGTGTGCGTGTGTGCGTGTGCGTTTTACAGTTGGACCAAAGGCGAGAGCGAGCGCGCAATGTTGATTACCCAGTGCACAGGCATGAGTGTGAACCGCAACAACAATGACCACTCTATGCCGCATGCATGTGTGCGTGTGTGTGTGCGTGTGCGTGTGTTAGTGCAATACAATGGCAAACATATTGCAGCTGCCTATGCGCTGCATAGATATGGGCAGCAAGGCGCGCATAGGGGCTATGCTATGTCCACCCCCTTTTTGGCAACAAGAGCAGCAGCTGCTACAGCTCTGACTCTCGGCTGCCGCTCTCCCACTCTCTCATTGCTCCTTCCTTTTTGCTCATATGCAATGTCAGCAGCTGCCTGGCAGGCATATAGCAATGCTCCTCAGTCTAACCCACCCCAACGGAATATGCGAATAACAACGGCGAGCTAAAGTGATTTGAAGGGGTATGCCAGACTAAGAGATGCTGAGTAAAATAGAGAGTGTATGTGTGTGTAGCTGTTATACATATGCTTGTTGTATATGTACATGTGTGCATGTATAGACTTGTGTTAGTTTTATTCTGTTGCACACTTACTGGCTAGTGTATATACCCTTTGTATAGCCTGTGTGCTGCTGGGTATAACAACACGACTCTTGCGCTGTGGTCAATGTTCGCTCTGTGGCCATAAAACTAAACTCCCCACTGCAACGGCCCGCGTCGCTCCCTCCCTCTCTCACGCTGCTGCTGCTCTTCTTCTTCTTCTTCTTTTTTTTTTTTTTTTTAGCTATTTGCGGTTCTTTCCGTTGCTTTCGTCGTAAATGAGCGACAGACCAGCAGCAACAGCAACAACAACAACAACAACAACAGTTAAATGCGAACCATTAGAAATCGAAACGGATGGTAGTTAAGATTTGACATTCAAGATTTGCACTTAACGATTGTAAGGAATATCGCATGTACGAACGTTCGAAATTAACGTCGAGTCCTGCCGCTGCTGCCGTTGTTTCCTCTCTTACGTTACGTAATGCTGCTATTAAATATCTCTACATAAATATATATACATATGTATGTAGTTATATATTTTTTATTTTTTAATAAACTTTAAGACTTAGCTGCAAATTTGTATTTCTTGTTCAAGCCTTTTAAGCGCTTCACTCACATATCTACGTAATACTACCAATAATTGCGTTTTCCTTCTGAGGTTAACAATTGCAAGCTTTTTGCTACCGTTTCTAACGCCACCTGACTTTTGCCCAGGTGCAACAAAGTTGTAGTTGTTGTTGCTGTTGCTGTTGCTGTGCTTGATGCAAATTTGTGCGCCCTAAAACCAGGCGTTTGTCAACGAAGTCGAGTTACAACCCCACCAACCCCAGAAACCCAAGCACTACCCCTAGACCTAACCAAAAACCCCTTGCTTAAGCCAGCAACAGACCGCATTGGGGTAGACTAGATTCAAGCTAAAACCCAACGCTGGCGACATTGTTGACTCGCTTACTTTTTAGTCAAAAGCCCCCAACCCCCTATCATCCCTAGCACTTCACTCACCCGCCTCCCCTAGCTCCCACTGTCACTGACTCTGTCTCTGTCTCTGTCTCTGTTGTTTCTTGGCAACGCTTTCGTAATTGCTTATGCAAATTTTCACAGTTGCAAGTAGCAGCTACCCTCTGGTAGCACCTACCCCTACCACCTGCCCCTAGCTGTAATGCAGCCCTCACCTTTATACAACCCCACTTGAAGCTTCAACTGCAGGCTTTTTTTGTTATATCACTCCGACTGCATCTTTCTGGCAGTGAGTTCTGTTGGCAAGCTAAAGTTTACACACACCTACCCCCCCGCCAACCGCCAACCGCCAACCCCGAGCACCCAAGTCCCTTCGTTAGCTGCGCCTCTGACTCGACGGTCCATCGCGCATTTTCATTGTCAACGTCGACGTCGAGGAGCTGCAGGCATTTGCATAGGTAACAAAATGCATTTCCCAGCAGCTACCCAAGCCCCTACCCTTACCCGGCTGCCTGCAGCCAACCCTCATGGTGAAAACCCTTAGCAGTAATTTTTAATGTGCAAAACAAATACAAATTAAAGCAATGCAAATAAAAGAGTTGCTCTAGCAAAATTAAAATAAATTCCAATGTGGAGCTTGGGGTAGATAGCTGTAGCTCCAGCTACATGTGTGTGCGTGAGTGTGTGTGTGTGTGTGTATGTTTTACCTGGATAGAAACAGTTGATTAGCCACAAAAAGTTAAAAGTTTCCTAAACGCATAACAAATTAAGCGAATGACAACAAATGACGAAGCATGAATAACAAATGAAAACTTTTTACTCTAGGAAACTGAATTGGGAATGCTGTAGAACTGTCTCTAAATGAAGGCAATTATTCAAGATCCGGAATGTTATGGAATAAGAGAACTGAGATGCGAATGGTTTTGCTGAATGATTTAGAGGACTTGTCAATTGGTTGGTCTTTCAGTCTCAGTCATTCTCTCATTCCACATCTATAATTATGCACTCCCTCTCTATGTAGTGCTATCTCTATTACCTATTCAAGCGAATCCCATTTCATATAGACATTACTTTAATAGGCAGTTGGCTGGCTTTACCTAACCGAGCCATAAATATAATTGAGTGGGTTTCAAGCCGAGTACGGCAGGAACTATCAACAGAACAATTTCGGGGCTAAGCCCGGCCAATTGCCAGTTCATAATTTGTGCAATAGCTCGGGTCAAATGCAGGCCTCAGTACAGGCAGCAAAGGGGGACAGAGCGAGAGAGCGAGAGTGAGAGTGAGGGAGAGGGAGAGGGGTCCCTCGAGGTAAAGGGGTGTACGGGTTGGATTTGCAGTGCGGCAGCTGTTAGCAACACCTAAGTGAATGGGGATTGACATGATTGGAATAGCCAGGCGAAGGAGGGTGTTGCATATGAAATTAGCCAAAGATTGTCGACACACATGCGTTTAGGGGTTGCTCCCCGGCAGGTGGAGAGGGGACTGTCGGGCTGTGGCTAGTGTGCTGGGGGCTGCTTGTGGGCCAATTGCAATCAGTTAAACAATGTTGCATATTAACAGCCGACCAGACACGCCACCAACAGGCGAAACTCTATCAAAGGTACGCCACGGACGGGGGTGTGCAGGGAACGGGGAACAGGGAACGGGGGTCAGGGGCCCCTCGGAGAGTTAGGGTATCGTTAGGCCGCCCGCAATGTCTGTGCATAAATAAGGCATAAATAACGGACAGGCCTTTTGGGGGTGGGGGAAGGGGTGCTGCAGGGTATACGGCTTGTCTGGCTAATTAAAACACTTGATGGGCTCTTTCAGCGTAAAGCGCCATCTGGCGTGCAGAAGCGAAGCGACTAAAAAAAAATTGAAATTGCTGTAAATTGCAAATTTCATATGGCACAGAGAACGAGAGAGAGCGACACAGAATGAGAGAGAGAGGGAGGGGGGGGGCAGCTCTGGTGCTGGTTTATTGACAGGTGGCAACACAATTAGAGGGCAGGTTCATTTGAACTAGTTTCAGCCAAAGCAGGGAAACACAGTGAACGAGAGAGAGGGAGAGGGAGAGGGAGATGGAGAGAGGGTGAGTGAGAGAAGGCTGAGAAGTTGCGGCTCTGTTCATAATTTATTGTTATTAAGTGTTATTAATTATGATGCCATTTAAATCACATGGGCGGTTGACATTGCGGTTCGTTAGCAATCGGAATTGAAATAGAGCCTGCGGCTTAGGGGCAAGGGTTACGAGCGAAGCCTACTTGAGAGCCACTTAAAGTACGTTTCTTATCAACTCTAATTACAATTCAATTGCTAGCAGCGAAATTGCACTTAATTTGCCACTGATGAAAGTTATCGATTAATTGGCTCTTAGCAAAGTGGAAAGTTCTAAGCAAACGGTGAGGGCTTTTCATTAAAAGTGATTTACGCCCAATAAACAAGAACTATTTGGGATTAGTGAGCGGCTGAGCTGTAATGAATAACCCTTTCGATAGGCCTAAGATGTTCCCTATTTGTTATCGATAGCAAGAAAAATCAAAGCCAACGAAATTTAAAAAGAATTTTCTGTTTTATTTTCAAGTGAACATAAAAAGTAAATAAGTAATGCGTGCCCCATCGAACAGATAATTCAATTACAGACGAAACCCCGTCTCAGGCAACGGTATCTACATATATAAACCGAAATAAGCTGCCGCCAGATGGCGCTGCAGGCGCACAAACCAAATTATTACGAGCTACACTTTGAGTGGATCTCTCGTGTCTGAATAAATTGAACACTTCGAGAACTGTCAATAATAAAGTGAGACAAAGAGCGCAAGGCAGAGAGTGTGCGAGTGGGAGGGGGAGGGGAAAGGCGGGACAGAGTTCATTTTTTGGTAAAGATTTTTACGATTGGCAGGCGGCACGTTTACTTTTAGCATTAAAGGCGACAGAAGGAAGCGCTTTTTATGGCCCCAAATTGTGAGAGGACACGCTCAGACAGAGCGACAGAGCGAGAGCGAGAGAGAGGGAGAGAGTGGGATAAAGTTTAAAACAATAAAAATGCGCACATAAAATGCAACATTTTTCGCTAGTCTTTTAATGCATTGCCGAAAGGCCAAAAGTGGCCAAAGGCCATTAAAAAACCGAGTAGAGAAAGACAGAGAGAGAGAGAGAGAGAGAGAGAGAGACAGAGAAATGGAGAGAGAGAGAGAGTGGGGAGTGGGCCATGAGTGGACACAAAGGCAGTTCAACAACTGGGCAAAGGCTAAGGACAAGCGCGCAGACAATCAGCCTGAAACACTGAGAGACGAAGCAGGAGCTGAGCAGGAGACAGCTGGAGGAGGAACCGAAACGGGAACTGGAATTGGGCTGCTGTTAAAGCTGTAAGCGGTTCGCAGATTTCGCACAGCTTTTCACCCAGTTATCTGGC